TTTCTGAGGTAAAAATAGTGAGAAAATGGCCGCCAAAGATTGGTCATTTCCTTATCTTAAGAGTCAATGCTAACTGAAAATTTACATATTTTTGTGCCTTTAATCAACGTTTTTCAGAAAAATCCACACAGAAATGAGTTTTTTAATGGGCATGAAAGGCGTTGAGCCAAAAAATAAAAATTTGATAAAAATTAACAAACCTGTAGAAAAAAGCAAGTTTCTTCACTTTGATTATTTTGACGATAGCCTGATTACACCACGCTGCCACACAAATAGATACAACAATCAAAAAGGAAAAACACTTCTGCACAACAATGAATGGGGAAGAAGTATGTCGACACAATAATGGGTTGCACGTACATTATAAAGTCCTCAAACATTTAAAATTCAATCATATGAGGAAACACTTAAACGGCAAACTTTTCTAAAAACTCACCAAGGCTGTGTAAAATGTACAGACAAGTCCTATGGTGAGAATACAGGCCCATAGAGGAAGATCCGTAACTGAAGAGATACAATGATGTGGTGATTAAAGATATCGTGATAAAGTCTGTTTTGAAAAAAAACAAGATATTTCAAGGGAAAGTCTATAGGCATAAAAGATTTCGTGACCAAGTCTATAAGGTTAAAAGATTTTGCGTCAAAGTCTCTAAGGATAGTTTTATTTTTAGTAGAGGTTTTACAGCGCTCTCAACTGCATAAGGTCATATGAGTGCCAGAAGATTAGAGGTGTTACAAGAGAGTAACAAACATAAAAAAGAAGAAGGGGAGATAAGGACGATAGATCTTTCTTAGGAAAGAAGAAACAAACCACACCAGGGCACCCGCCAACCACCTACATCTATATAAGGATAAAAGATGTTGTGACAAAATAATGTATAAGGATAAAAAGTACCGTAATACATTTTGTGAGGATGAAATATACCGTGAAGCATTCTGTGAGAATAAAAGCTGAGTCGGGCCCAGAAAGATTTCTTTTCTCTCCCTGAATGGGCAAAAGCTACCATTGGCATAATACGACCGATTGGATTCTCTACTTTGATTACCAAACAAGTTGGATTTTTAAGGTTACCATCAAATTAAGAGGAATTCGGTCAAATTCTGTCAACTTAGTTGCATCAACCCCTCTACAGAGAAAATCTAGCTGACTTTTCAATTTTATTGACAGCGCACATGAGGTTTCATGAATCTAAAATTAGAGACTCTTCCGCTATAACACGTAGATTTCCAAAAACCAAAACCAAAAAAACCCAAAAAAATAAAACCACCATGATATTCAACACTTACTCACACTGAACGCTGTCCAACTTACCTGCGTTGAGAGCCAGTGAGGGGGCATACAGTACAACTCCCATGTACAGTAGCTGAAGACGAGATAGCAACAATAAAAAATAAAGGATTCCACGTGTACTGATTTGTTGAAAGTAAGACAGTGAGGGGTGATACTGTCATGAAATTGATAAATGAAAGAGGTCCGCCTGCTTGCAAGGATAGTTCATCCCACTCAGTCCTGGTTGGGCCTAGAAAGCATAATCGGAATAATCCGCCCCCAACATTATTTACATTTTTGTAGAGGTAGACGCAAAAAGTTTTTATCTAAAACAAAAAAACCCACCCCCACCCCATAGTCGCCATTAGAAATTATATCAATATGTCATTACACCACAACAGAAAAGTGGTTTCTAAGGTCACTGCTGAGAGTTTCTTGGAGAGCAAATAAAGTCAAATGTGGTCGTACTTCAAGAAGCCCAAGTGAGTTGGTAGTTGGTATTTATTATTGAAAAAGCATTAAGAGAGACACACATGCAGTGTCTGGAATACATGAAGAGACAAAACGGCCCTGATCATTTCGCTTTCACTGTCATAATTGAGGGCTAACGAAGAAGGTGGAGACCCAGATCAACTTGTACGGAGAACCTAAACAGATGGGTGACGGGGAAAGATCAGGAAAACGTAGCATTTTTTGTTTTTTGTTGTAGATCATTCGAGCAAAAGAAGGAATGGAGAACCATGAATGCCGATGTCTGTTCTGACACTTGATGATGATGATGATGATGATGATGATGATGATGATGATGATGATGATGATGGTGATGGTGATGATAACACTTGACGGATTTACCAACCAAAGTTTCCATTACATATATTTGCAGATTTAATCACCAAAACACATGACGGATTTACCCAACTGGCATATGTGATATAACTGATTAGTGCATCAATGTCGTAAACAGGAGTCCTGGGTTCGATTTCCGAGAGGGGGGGGGGGGGATTTCTGTCAACTATATGGGTTTTTCTACTGGAATGTTGTGTCCTTCTAAGCCAGTGTTGGCTCTGAAAGGCAGGGTGAAAAGCCTACCTCCTAAATGGTCTTAACCCTTTGATGCATGAGGTATGAAGCATGAGGTATGGAGCATGAGGTATGAAGCATGAGGTATGAAGCATGAGGTATGAAGCATGAGGTATGAAGCATGGGGTATGAAGCATGAGGTATGAAGCACAGCACTCAGGCCCATGACATTTGGTGCGTAGGTTCTATTTGGGGTGAAAACAAGGTAGAAAGACGAGTTTTTCATCTCGGGGCATCCTGATGGGGGTGTCAGATTGTCATACACTGGACAGTATGCATCAAAAGGTTAATCGTGTCGATGTATACGTAAAAACACCTGCAGGATTTACCAACCAGTAATAACGTGTGACGCTAAGAGCTTATACTCGTATGGGATAGAGTGCTATATATATGAAATCAAATTAGTAGTAGTAGTAGTAGTAGTAGTAGTAGCAGCAGCAGCAGCAGCAGTAATAGTAGTAGTAGTAGTAGTAGTAGTAGTAGTAGTAGTAGTAGTAGTAGTAGTAGTAGTAGTAGTAGTAGTAGTAGTAGTAGTAGTAGTAGCAGCAGCAGCAGTAGTAGTAGTAGTAGTAGTAGTAGTAGTAGTAGTAGTAGTAGTAGTAGTAGTAGTAGTAGTAGTAGTAGTAGTAGTATCAATACAATTATTAATATTATTTTTACTATCATTATCATTACTATTATTCTTCTTATTATTATTATGATAATTATTAATAATAATACTATCATTATCATTATTATTATTAAAATCATTATTGTTTTTATTATGGTTCTTAAAATTATTATTATTATTTTTATCAATATTATTATTATTTTTATTATTACTATTATTATTATATTATTATTATTATTATTATTATTATTATTATTATTATTATTATTATTATTATTATTATTATTATTATTATCATTATTATTGAAATAATTGTTATTATTATCATAAATATTATTTTTCTAATTGACCATCCAGCAGCACTCACCATGTTGACTACAAACATCACTGAGGCCCAGGCTCTCACGGCAAAGCTGAAGCGCACCTCCAGGTACTGTGGACGAAGCCATACTGTGGTGATTATTTTATAGATAAAGGGACCATACGACGTACATATTTGGGTAGAGTGAATCAGGTAATCTTAAACAAGGGGCCATACAACGTTATTTGTTGAGTACTGATTCAGACAATTTGCTACCTTAGAATTACTAAGTTCTATATCTGCTCAAGGCCTAGTTCTGAGAAGAGAAATTTGACATTAAAAAGTTTCACGACATGCTTCAGCTTTTTGTAAGCATTTCTTTGAATATCTTGATGACGACTTCGCCGAATAATCTGACGATATTGATAGAACGGGTAGAGCATTTAATTTGGTATCTGACGTCATGGTCTAAGTAGCTAAAAAAAAAACAAAAATGTCAGACAGAACTTCGTCATTCTGAGGTAGAGAATCCAAACTGGAGCATCAGGGCGATAACCAGCTTGACAGTCACTGTAAGCTCAACAGATGATGGCAACAGTTCATACGTTTTAGACTCAAAGCAGGGTACAACAGACTAAATGAACAAAATATGTATGGAAAGCGAAAGATATTTTGAAACGAGTTGTAATAATTCTATCATGTATGGTATGGTCAGGAGCAATGATAAAGAAATAAACTTCCCCTCACCAATGGCTTAAACTGAAAAGAGGTTGTTGCCAACTCGTCTAACTCAAAATATACGTTTGAGGTGGAATTATGAACGAGTTCGAAAAACGTTTTTCTTTCTCTTGCCAGCCACGCCAGTAAACTGTTGTGTAAGAGAAACAATAATTGTTTTGTATCAGAAAAGACTAGTTGTAAGTCTAATGGTTTCAGAGAATAGGGGTCCATTCATCAACAGTCCATTACGCATGAAACTGAACGCTTTATTTCCGAGACAGTGTTATCTAATAAACAATTTTAAATTACGACCAGATTTATTAAACATTGACCCACAGTTCTTTAATTAAATCTGGAATTTCCCAAGTTATCTGTGAACTTTCTAAATCAAACACTCGAAGTGGCTTGAGACTGTTTGCTTTCGGTCACTCCACTGATTGTTTCGCTCTATGACTTGTATGACCTGATATACGTCGACGAGGTTTTGATTGAATGTGATTATCAGACAGGTCCGAAGTGGGTCAGCAAGACATGAAAGATCCAGCACTTGGCGATTCTCCTCTCTGTGAGATAAGGCGACACTTGAGTGTGTGTCCGAAATGTGTACAAGGGAAAGTGTAAATACATGCACGTCCGTACTAATGTAGTCACTTCTTAATGGGGGTTGTTCCCTCGTTCCAGAATCATATATGTTGGTGTGTCGGAAAGTAGAGCATGAATTGGTCATCAGAGATCGGATTATTTTTGTTTGTGTTTTTGTTTTTGTTTATTTATTTTTGGTAAGAGTTTTACATCACTTGAAACACAATTAGGTCTTATAATTGCCGAAAATTAAATGTGCTACATAGGCGTAACAAACGCGAAAAAAAGAAGGAAGAAAGGTAAGGACAATAGATGTTTAATAGGAAATAAGAAGTAAACCACACCGGAACACCCACCAACAACCCACTGATTAGATCCGCGCCCGCCCTTAGAGTCAGCGTCAGCGTGAAGATGCTCTAAACTTGTCTTATTAATATAATATGTGTCACACATAGTTGAATAAGGCGCTCGTCAATTTTTGGGCACGTGGAGTTATTGGTATCACCTTACAGCTTATTCAGTTGTCTTGGTATGGGAGAAAAAAAAGTCCATCTATCTTGAAGAGAAGTCAAGATATTTTAGATTGAAGAAGGTGTAGGGTCGCCAGGTTTCAAAAGTAGAATTAGCAAGAAAATGGCCGTCGACGTTTGGTTATTTCCATAGCTTGATAGTCCGTGAACACTGAAAACTTACATTTTTGTTGCTTTAATGAATCTTTTTTAGGTAGAATCTACCCAGAAATATGTTCTTAATTGGATAACAAAGGTATTAGGCTAAAAAACAAAGATTCGATTAAAATTGCCAAACTGTCAGAAAAATGTCAGTTTCTTTAATTTCATTATTTTGACAAGCGCCTGAATTCACCCTGCAGCCTCACATATGTTCTCTATTGGGAGTGAACAATATAGCGTTCTCACGCCACTGGGATTTTCAGGGTTGTAACAACACAAGCCATGTTTTTAAATGATATTTCGCGGAAGAAGGACAGAATCAAAATTTATTGACGACTTTTTTTAGCCTTAGATCGAGACTGGACAGTTAACGGATCGCAGTACTTTGAAACGTCTACTTTCACTAAGTAAACACATCATGTCCCTGTCAACGACAAAACATGTTCAGAAAGAAACATAAGTATAGACGAAAGTGAGGGATATGCACTTTTTTGTTGGACATTTTAAACAGAGGACAAAAGCTAATTGCCTTGGAGAATCCAACATCAAATACAGATCTAGCGAAGTTACAAGGAAGCATAAAAGTGTTGTCAAGTGAAGTATATTGACACAAAAACGACCATTTAGTTCAAAGGAAAAAATGGAGGAAGATTGACAAAAACAACAGATGGAAAGAAATGAAACAGTACCGACCAGTTGCGCCCTTTAGTCGGCTACGCTCATCTTCTTGAGAAGTGGAACCAGACAAAACCTCCCAAATGAAGATACCATGACCCAAAAAAACAAACAAAACACAGTAATAATGATAAATAAATAAACATCTATCGTCCTTATCTCCCCTTCTTCTTTTTTATGTTTGTTGCTCTCTTGTAACACCTCTAATCTTCTGGCGCTCATATGACCTTATGCAGTTGCGAGCGCAGTAAAACCTGTACTAAAAATTAAGGAGTCAAGACTCACCTCGTAGGCGCTGGTGAAGCTGAGCTTGTGGAAGAAGGGTAGGAACACGTGATTGGTCACTATACAGGTGGGGATCATGGACAGTCCAGCCAGCCAGTAGGCGGTGTTCACCTGGTACATCTCTGTGGGAGGGGAGGGGGAGGGGGAGGGGGAGGGGGATGGAGGGAAGTGGTGGGAGGTTGAGGAAGGTGGAGGGGAGGGGAGTGGTGGGAGGTGGAGGGAGGTGGAGGGGAGGGGAGTGGTGGGAGGTGGAGGGGAGGGGAGTAGTGTAATGGAGAGGTGTGTTATTAGACTCCATGCGGAGGGCGGGAGGGGGTATAATAATTATTATCATTCAGCACCAAGGGGTAGAGGCAGGTAGGTACACAAGAAGACTCAATGGTGGAACGGAGGTATTTTGTTTGATTTGGTAAGTGATTTACAGAGCTCGCTACTGCATATTTTAAAGGTCATATGAGCGTGCATGACACATCAAAGATATTTCGTTTTGGTAAGATTTTTAAAATTTTGCCAAGGTGACAATGGAAGCCTACTCTTACCGATTTTAGGACCACCAAGGGCTCTTTCTGGTGCGCAACTTCTACACAGGACTATCTAGATTTTTGCCCTTGTCTGAGTAGCTTAGGTGTTAGGTGTTAGATCTTACCTACCCAAAGGCTAGGAGCGTGGCTGAAAGACAGCAGTAAGAAGGAGCCAAGGAGTAGCAGTAGAAAGGCTGCAGATCGAGTCGGGAGCCCAGAGGAGGGGGCAAAGGAGGTGATGGGGTAGGAGCAGAAAGTGGAGACGAAAGCAGACAACAGAACGTTGCTAGAGAGCGGGAAAGGAGGTGAAAGGAGAGCACTTTTAGAGAAGAATTTTTTTTTTCAGTGGCTACCCGAATTCGAACCTGTGACCTTTGAATGAGAGGCGAACACCTTAACCTCTAGGTCACGAGAGCCCCCATTCAATAAGTAGCCTTAGAAAAGCTGCAGAAAGAGTCAGGCGTCCAGAGGAGGGGGCAAAGGAGGTGAGTTGGGGATTGCAGAAAGAGGAGACAAACATTCTTAGAGAGCAGGAAAGGATGTGAAAGGAGACAATTTTAGAGAAGAAAAGTTTCGCTTACCATCCGGATTCGAACCCGGTGCCTATTGAATGAGAGGTGAACACATTAACCTCTAGGCCACGACAGCCCCCAGCCAATGAAAAGTAGTAGAAAAGCTGCAGAAAAAGCCAGAGGAAGGAGCAAAAGAGGTGAGTGGGTGGTGGCAGAAAGTGGAGACAAACATAGAGAGCAGGAAAGGTTGTGAAAGGAGACAAATTTTAGAGAAGAAAATTTCCGCCACCATTCGGATTCGAACCCGGGATCTAGGCCACGAGAGCCCGTCTAAAACAGCACCTGGACATGGATGGCTGGTGCCTCTATAAATAAATCATTGATGATCAAGGTCAAGGCCACGAGAGCCCCCCCCCCCCCCCCCCGCCCCGATGGAGTCTGAGAGTGAGCAGTCAATACAATGACAGACAAAACTCACCCGTGGGAGTTCCCAGCACAGTGATGGCCGACATGAAACTGGCCATGAGGGACATAGCGATGGGGAAGATGGCCATGTCTCTCCCGCCCATCAAGATATCCTCGGACGTCGCCTTGTGGGCCATGCGGTACTCCTTGATGATGTAATATATACCTGGAAGGGAAATGTGAGAGGAAGGGTAGACATTGTGTGTTCATTTTCAGTTTCATTGTATTTTGTTGTGAGTTGTTGATTTTTAAAATATTTTTTTTTGGTCGGGGGTTAGGGGGGAGGGTTACTTTGGAAATCATCATCATCATCATCATCATCATCATCATCATCATCACCATCACCATCATCATCATCATCATCATCATCATCATCATCATCATCATCACCATCATATCATCATCATCATCATCTTCATCATCATCTTCATCATCACCACCATCATCATCATCATCATCACCACCATCATAATCATTATTATCATCATCATCATTGACAGCTTACCAATGCCAGCAGAGACGACCAAGACAAGCGCCAACAGGATGTAGTCGACCACGCCCAGCTCGCCCACCTTGTCCCCTGGACACGTCTCGCACACTGCACGACACACTTCCGTCTGGGAGAAGGCGGACGCCATCTTGTCTCCTCACGAGTCGTCTCTCCTTTGTTGACTCTATGATATAGTAGAAGAACGTGGTGATAATAATAAATAGCATTTGTAAAGCGCATAACCCCGCTCAACAGCAGGCTCTTTGCGCTTTGCACTATATTATTACCCCACCAGACCATAGAACACTCAGAAACATTCTCAGCTTCCAGGGAAGCATACGGTGCAAGTAGCTGATTAAGCGCTCAAACACTAACAAACTGACAAGATCTTTCACTGTCTATAGCCGGGTACCCATTCCCACCTTGGTGAAGTGAGGAAAACTCGTGTAAAGTGCCTTTCCCATGGACACAACGCCGGGTCCCTGACAAGATTCGAACCCACGACCATACGGTTGCGAGTCCGAGAGCCTAATCACTAGGCCACCGACGCCACAGAGAACAGAGAGAGAAAGAGAGAGAGAGAGAAAGAGAAAGAGAGAGAGAGATAGAGAGAGAGAGAGAGAGACAGAGAGAGCTACCCCAGAATTACAAAGTTCCTAGTTTTTTGGTGTTTTTTAAAGTTTTAGTAAAGGTTTTACGGCGCTCGCAAATGCATACGGTCATATGAGCGCCAAGATGTGGATGTCAACAGAGAAGTCCTTACAGGGAATCAGACTTTGACTGCTCATCTCTCTAGCTTCAACTGAACAAAGTCTGCTTCGACTATCGGGCACCCCAAAAATAGCGGGTCACAAGAGTATGACAAACATACAAAAGAAGTAGAGGAAAATGACGATAGTAAGGATTAGGAAAGAAAAAGCAACAGTTCCCTGTTGTAGTTCAGGCACAGATATGAGTCAGCCCATTTACAATTCTACTGTACATTAGAACGAGGAATGCCCCCCCCCCTTCCCCCTTCTTTGGGAATGGCCTAAACATACTTCAGTCAGTGGCACCGCCCAGGGGGTACAAGATTCTTTCTGCTCAGTACCTAGTTTTGAGAAATTCGACGTAAAAAATGTTTGAGTGATAAGCTTTTTCGAATGCAATTCTTTCAATGTCTTGATAGCGACTCCGAGTAATCTTGCGATTTTCGTAGAGCAGATAGAACATTTGCCTTCTGACCTCACTGTCTTATTAACTCAAAACGCCGAAAATGTCAGCTTGTAATTCTAAGGTGGCGAACTGGCTAAAACATCCTCTAGGCATGGATCAGAGACCGTGAATATTGGACATGGATGGCTGGTGCCTCTATAAATAGATTAGTAATGAAGGTAAAAAAGAACTGGGGGCACTGTGTTAGCGCAGTCAGCATCATGCTGGACTATAAAGCATATTGCCCTGGTTTGAATTGCAGACTGGACGTTTTGGAACTTGGGTCGTTTTGTGGAGTTTATAAAGCTGTCAGCACATTTGGCTAAGTAGTATCGGAAACGGACGTTATATTCAGAGGTTTCTTCTCTTAAATAACTTCATAGTGTTGATATCGGCAATGTATCCTTACACTACTTACTTACTTACTTACTTACTTACTTACTTACTTACTTACTTACTTACTTACTAACTTGCTTACTAACTTGCTTACTAACTTCCTTCCTTCCTTCCTTCCTTCCTTCCTTCCTTCCTTCCTTCCTTACATACTTTAAAATACTTCTATACTTATATGCTTACTTACTCACTTACTTGCTTACTTACTTACTTACTTACTTACTTACTTACTTACTTACTTACTTACTTACTTACTTACTTATTTACTTACTTACTTACTTACTTACTTACTTACTAACTTACTCACTTACTTACTTACTTACTTAATTACTTACTTACTTACTTACTTACTTACTTAATTAATTACTTATTTACTTACTTACTTACTTACTTACTTACTTACTTACTTACTTACTTACTTACTTACTTACTTACTTACTTACTTACTTACTTACTTACTTACTCGTAACTGCCAGTATCTTACGCTCAGTTTTAGTAAAACTTTAACAGCACTTGCAACACAATAAGGTCATAATAAATGCCGAATATTACAGGTGCTACAAGAGAGTAACAAACGCAAAACAAGAAAAAGGGGCGAAGAGAACTATAAATATTTATTTGATAGGAGAGTAGGAGCAAACCACACCAGAGCACCCGCAAAGCTCCATCTGTCTTACTTACTCTGTCATCTACAGAATGTGTATCATTTAGGATCCAGTAGAATTAGATTCTTGTTATTTTGGAGGCATATAGAGTTATTTGTAGTATCTAAAAGCTTGTTTCATTTGTCTTGCCTTTGGCAAAAAAAACACCCATCTAATTTGAATAGAAGTCGAGATTTTTGTGATTGAAGGAGGTCAGGGTCGCCTGGTATCAGAGGTAAAATTAGAGAGAAAGGGGCAGCGAAAGTTAGGCGACTCCCAAAGCTTGAGTGTCCTTGGAAACTGTACATTTGCTTATTTGTGTGTCTTTAAACAACGTTTTATAGTAAAACTTTAAACAAAAATGTGTTCTTAAATGGAAATAGAAAATAGAAGGTATTGAGACCCCCCCCAAAAAAAAAAATTAATTAAATAAAATAAAAAATAATAATAAGCTTGAAAATTTGAATACATTTGGCCAATGGCCAGAAATATGTCTTTCTTTTTTCATTATTTTGACCAGTGCCTGATTTTACCAGGCTACCTCAAATACCAATTAGGCGGCTGTCTAACAACCTGATCCAGGCAGGCCACAGCATCACAGCTCACAGAGAGAGTTCAGTAATTAAGTTCTTTTAGTCAGAACACAACGTTTTATGTTACTGTTGTACGGTGTACTGTATTGTAAAGCGCTCATAGCCTGTGTACTTAATCTGGGTTGAACGCTTTATAAATGTCATTTATTATTATTATTATTATTATTATTATTAGTAGTAGTAGTAGTAGTAGTA